GCACTGCATGAGCATGATCGGTATATGGGCAGGTGAGTGGCCATCTTGAGATGTCTGAATGTGTTATCAAGATCAAGATCCCTCAATGCAAATGCACATACGCGGGCACGGTTACACGATCTCGATAAGAGCCCGTTGATTGTCCAGTAAGGCAGTGTTGACAGAGATTACCGTTTGCTGGGCAATCTCATGTTCCAATGAGAAAGCAAGGCAAGTCCCTTCCGCCCCGACGACAATCACCCGCGGAGGTGGTCCGACGCGGAGCAAGTTGTTGATATCGAAAGTGCGGGTTGGCGTGCGTCAGCCTGTCAAAGCGAGGCGGCGGATTGCACCAGGACGGTTTAGAAAGACGTGCATGCCGTGATCTGGGGTACCCCGGGAGATCCGCAGCCACAGGCGCTGATGGCCGTCGGCGGGCGTGTAGCACTGTGATGACGGAGGGCGATGGAGCGCTTTCTCTCGACTGAAACCTATCACCGCGGCGAAGTGAGGGCTGGCTGTCCCACTTGGGGGACGTGTGATGTCGAGGATACTTGGGTGGGCCCGTGGTGGAGGGGTGACGTGCAGCGGTGATGTGCGTCGTGAGTCGATCCTTTCACGATAGTAGCAGAAGCCGCTCACCGCCCTTCTATAACTAAGCAGCGGCAGCTCTGCACTAGGCTACGCGCGCTCCCCTCACTAACACGGCCCACGCGACACGCTTCTCTTTGTTGTCGCAGCCCTCATTGCCCCGCATCACCTGTAGCAGTGCAGTGGAAGAACTACCTAGAAGACTGCCATGGGTCAACCAGCACGCCGCACTGCTCGAGCCCGCCATAATATCGACGCCTCACCCTCCCACTCCTAAGACTGGGCGCGCTTCCATGGCGGAATGCGCCCTCTCGACATGATCGGACACCTCTTCAGCAGCCGCAAAGGCTCCAGCGCCGCCCACGCGCCGCCGCCGACGGTGCTCGACTCGGCGACGGAGGAGAGCCACACGCGCCATCTGCTGTACCCCGAGACCAGCACCCTCTACCACCCCGAGGGCCAGCCCTATCCCCTCCACGCCGCGCCCCTGACGCCCGGCAGCGCCCACGACGGGCCTCTGCCGGAGATCGACCTCGACTACCCGCGCGACTGCCGCATCATCATCGCCCAGGATGAGACGCCCCAGATGCCCAAGGCAATCCTGTTCGACTCCAAGCCCGCCCCGCCGCGCGCCGACCCGCCCACATCGCCCACCTCACCCACCACGACACGCGCGCGCGCGGCGGGCACAGCAGGCCCGACGTTTGGCGGACTGCATGCCCGTCGCTCCTCCCTCGCCACAGAGCCCACGCCGCCGCCGCGCTCGCCCACGGTCGCCGGCTTCACGCGTATACGCACCCGCGGCAGCTCCATCTCCTCCATGCCCAACATCGACGAGCACGCCCAGGTCCAGGCCAAAGCCCAGGCGCGGGCCAAGGAGTCGACCGACCTGGCCAACATCTGCCTCGACTGCATGTTCGGCAACCTCGCCATGAACTACCGCGGCAACTCCAACAAGATCCACATCGTGCCCCTCGACACCAAGCCCGCCGATGCCTCCATACTGAGCACCAGCGTCCAGGATGCGACGAGCTCTCTGGGCCGCGCCGAGGGCCTCCGCCGCCGGAGCCATCTCGCCAAATCCTTCACTCCCGCCAACCTCCCGACCGACATGCCCCGCGCCGACTCGTCCGAAAGCATACCGAAAGAGCCCAAGCGACGGACCATCTTCATCACACGCTTGTTCTCCGTCACGATGCCGGACGAGGATCACGACGACCGCACGCCGACACCGCAGAGCTCACTGCCGAAAGGCAATGGGTTCCCCTTTCCATCCACAAACGTCAAGCCGGGTGCCCCTAAGCCGCCATACCCTTCACACGTGCGAAAGAGCCCCATGTATGCCATTACCATTATCCTCCACCTGCCCATATCGAACACGTCGCCGAGCCTGAGACCTTCGTCCCGTAGTGCCAACACTAGGACTCCTGGACACCTTTCAACCTCTGCCCCTGGACAGGATTCTCTTGGTTCGTCACTGGACTCGGATCGCCGCGCAGGATGGGCCTTCATTGACTCTAACCTGGGCGTCGAATCACTGCTATCCTCGTCGTTGTGTAGTGACGTCGATGACCGCGTTGATGTCGTAGGCCAGCACTGGGACGTCATCATGCGCGCTCTAAGCAGCCTCCAACATGTGGTTCAGGAGCGCATATTGGCTCAGTTCAAGGCGCCCAAATCGCCAGATGGCATGGCCACGCCTGTAGCCCACCACCAGAGAAATCAGCCTTCGCGGACGAGTCTTCGAGACTCCTCTCTGCAGGCCAGTCGACGAGCCCTACGATTGCAGCCGAACGCCCTCATGATGGACAAGGAGATACGAGACGCGGCGGAGCTGACCGGCAATCGCGTCGTGAGCGGTATGAGAATCCCCCGCGTAATGACAGGTCAAGGCAAATGGGGTGTGTGGCGTGAGGAGGCCAGATGGCTTGGTCGCTGGGCAGGTCGACGAGAACAGAACTTCTTCTTCTTCAACTTGCTGACTGCTTTCCTCGGTAACCACACTGAATGGCTCAATATCCTGGGCCCCAGGTGGCACCGCAAGCGTCATCGCGAACTACAGAAAGCGACTGCCGGAGAGAATCTAACCATTCCGAGTCGCACTGTCATTGTTTCCCCAGATAAGATGGCTGCTCGGAGACTCATCTTTCTATTGGCTGCCTTTCTACCACCTAATGCGTCTGCCATGGGCGACAGCACCTACGCGCGCCCTGGCACCTCGGCGTCACTGCGTGCTTACTCACAGTCGCCCCCGACCAACATGCCGCCCTCAAGACAGCCATCGCTAAGGAGACAGATAAAGCGAGGACCGAGGGGTAAGCAGAGCATGTCCAACATTCTTCTGCAGCCCCCGAAACCCCAGAGTGTGCATCAGCCCTCTACGCAGGCTCTAGACGAACGTTCCGAGTCGGCCCTGATTGAGACGTCAGAGCCTGTACGACCGCTCGGCCATTCGCGACGTTCCTCTGCACATTCAGTCCGGACCACTCTAGTCGTCCCCTCGATGTCGGAAGGCCCAGTCACAACGGGCAGTACTGTAACCACCTCAACAGCCACCCCACAAGATGCGATGCCTGTCGCTCACTTCACCTTCCCTAGAACAAAGTCTTCCGGCACCATGCCTGATATGAGACCAGAGAGCAGTGATAGTCTGGCGTCCACCAACTTGATCAGCACCCTACAACGGAGCGGTACAGGCCAGACAAGCCTTGCCAGCAACGATTCCAGCAACACTAGTCGCTGGAGTGGCTTCATGAATTTTTGGAGCGGCCGTCGCTCGTCCTCGACCGACCAAAGTGAGTACTTCCAAACGACAGATGATGGCGTGGGCTTTCGTGGGCAAGAGCGCCCTCGATCGCAGCTTGAGCACATGGTACAGGAACTCTCTATGGACCGTGTCTTCGAGAGCGATGCCGTCGATTCTCCGTTTGCACCTGACTCCGGCGAAAAAGACACTCTCAGTGTTTACTCTAATGGTGGCACTTCCGGTGTTCCTGCATCTGCAGCGCGGCCGATACCCGAGCGTCAGAAGACTTTTGAAAGTCATCTAAAACTGTCAGTCAATGAAAAGGATGGCGTTATTGATGTCGACCTCCCGCTCCCCGACTTCGACTCCCCTTTACAGTCTCCAATGCTGGGAGGATTCGGGTCAGCTTCAAGTCAACCGGGCTCCAGCTTTGGCGAGTCATCGGTTCTGTCGACGCCTCACGGAGAGCCAGAACAACCTGTCAACGTTGCTGGGTGGCTCAGTCAATTTCATCCTGACTTTGCTGTTCAGGCTATCAAACCGTATCGCTACCTCGAACGAGACATTAAGCGGGCAATGAGCGCGGAGCCAACACCTTTGAGTACCGTGACTACACCTAGTCTGGAGTCTGGTCCACTTGAACGCTGGATGGACATATGTTCTGCTCTTATCGCTGACACGAGTTCCTTTTCAATCAAGCGCATCAGCTTACGACGCCTTGTCAAGCTGATACCCACACCTACCTACCAGTCCTCGGCCATGACGCCAGGCGTTACTGGTTTGGCGCCCGGCCACTCGCGTTACGGCAATCCGTATACTTCAGGCAGCGCTGTTCCAATGATGACTGAAGTCCACCTCGCTGAGAAGTTCGATGAAGAAATCATCATGGACTTCGATTCTACCCTCATAGACGGCGTGGATCGTGTACTGGCACAGTCTGGTGAAGTGACTCGTGTCAACTCTGCCCAGTCATCACGATCAAGCAGCAGAAGGGGTCGGCCCCATACACGAGCGGAGTCAGATGCGGTTCCACACGTCGAAGTACCGCATGTTGACTGTAAAAGCGTGCTGTTCGAAGCGTTGGAAATTGTCGTCAAAGACGTAGCCACTGAGCGCGGAGGTCGACAGCCTCCTAAGGAAGGTGGTCAGACAAAACCGACAAAGACAACCAAGACTTCTCACCCAAGAACCGAGAACGACTCTTCCCTGAAAGAGGGAATTCGAAGGTGGCTGACAGAGGTTGAATGAGCGCGGCAACAGGGTGCCGACTCTCCTACCATGGCGACTTCAGATTTTGCCATCTATGTATTATATCTTTTGGACCTTTGCGTTTTTGTCTTTGCTGCGTTTTAGCGGGCGTTGGAATACTCTCACAGCAAGGTTGCGACCTTCGCTTTCGGCATCCAGGGTGGAGTTTTGCTTTGACTCGATGTGCTGCTGAGGGGATATCATCACATCTAGCAGACACAAGGCGTGGAGACTATGATACCATAGATAGACTGATCAGATCTACTAGTATTTTTACATTTGGTGCATTTGACAAGCATGAATGCCATGGCATGTGCAAGAAGAATATGGTGTGATGTAATGCCATGTAGTGTTGATTAAGATCTTTAGTTGATGACCACCTCAAAACATCAGCCGTCCTCCCCTGGTGTTGACAAGAGATGACTGTCCACGGCCCTCAGATATCGCCTCCAATGACAACATCAAAAACACAGTGCACAACACCAGGTGCGTACATCTTCACTTTCTCCACATGTTCCACCAGAACCTTCCTTCTGGTTGCGGCGTCCCTCTTGTCCACCAGACTCTGGAATTCCTCTTCTATAACCTTTCGCCTCGTCTCGACGTCCTTGACTCCAACGTTCTCATGCACATGAATCCACCCTCCAAGCTGCTTGTCAAGCATGGCAACTGCAACGCCCCAGGAGAGCTTCGACGAAGGCAGCAAGCCTAGATTGACGTGTCGAACAGGTGGCTTAGGCGATGGAAGCAACGCGTAGTCCGTCTCGGCACTCTCATTGCTCGTCTGAAAGACCAGGAGATCCGCTTGGTCGAGACAGGAATCGTCTCTCGAGGGACTTTCACGCAGTTGCGCTATGTCTGTATCCTTGAGGACTCTGCACGTCCACCCATTCATCTCTGCACCTCTCCGTAGTCCTTCCACACTCCACGGGTTTATCTCCCAACATGCGACTTGCTTGATACCTGTATCCCGTCTGTCTCCACTCTTCTTGTACGAGAAGGCGAAGTAGCCGATTCCAGCGTAAAGATCGACGGCTGTTGATGCAACATCCAGATTATTCACCGAAGCAAGATTCAATATCCTTGCTTTCTCATTGACATTGCCGCGACTGAACATCGTGTAGAGCGGCGCCCAGGTCTGCCAAATACCGTTTTGGCGCGCAGTTACCCATAGGGCGTCGGCGAAGTCTGTTGCTGATGGTGAGGTGATGGTTTGTGAGGTTGGTGCGGGACCGAAGTTGCCGTAGAGAGGTGTGAGATTGGTTGGGCTACGCAGTATGTTCTCTTCGCCTGCCGTGGTGGATAATGATGCTGATGTTGAAGACGTGGATATGGGTATGGGCGCGTTGATGGCGACGTGTGTTGCGCCCACTGATATCGCTGTATCTCGCCATACTGCTTTCATTTCGTCGGAGTCGGCTGGATAAGTGGTGCTGAGAGCTCGCCAGGGGGCGGAGGACAATGCGTTGTGCGGAAGAAGAAGCATGGGCTTGTACACTGAATATCCGTCTGGGAAAGCTGTGACAAGTGCTTCGACCGTGAGTGTGTGCGATACAGAGGCAAGATCCAGAAGCAAGGTGAGCGCGGTTCCTAAAGCCTTGTGAAGGGGACTTGAGTGAGCCGCACGCGGTGATGCTGCCGTGCTTGGGACGTGGTGTGAGATGGATATGTCTGTGGAGATCTCGCTCAGTGCGAGATCTTCTGTTATCTTGGACTTCAAACCCTCAGCATCCAGGATGTCGTTTGAGCTGTTTCTAGGCGCAGGACACGGGATGGTCGTGGGGATACGCATCCGATTTTGGTCAGGCTCTCTAGCCTTGTCAGCCTCCGTGTTCACGGTAGAACGCTCAACATATTCTCCTCTGACCACATCAAACTGCAGGGTGGGAAACCTGATATGACTGTCGCGATCACCAGGTGACTCGCCCGCCGGGCTCGAGGTCTCATTCTCAACTATCTGGCTTCCACGCTGAGTTCTGTCTTCCAAAGATGACTGGTCGACATATTCGCCGCGGGTCGCGTCGAAGTGGAGCCTCGGGAAGCGTGACTGCTGTGTAAGGTTTGGTGGTGCATGTGAGGCTTCCGCTGGTGATGCCGCAGTGTCTGCTTCAGGTGGAGATGACCTCGATAGATCAGCACTCTGTGTCGGACCAGTCGAATTCCCGACTGCACTTGATACTCTTTCGCTATCCAAGTCAGGCACGATCTTGCTGTTCCGGTCAAACTGTCCGGCCCGTTCTAGGGCTGATTTCACAGTCTTGACATGCTGTTTAGGTACAACAAGGACGATCCTGGAAGTTGAGGTCTCCATTCTTCCTAAAAGTCAAGATGAGTGTTGACGTCGAGTTTGTGTTTTGGGGAACATTGGAGAAACTCGATGCAACATGATGGATTTGTGCACTCGCTAGCTTCAGGCAACACTATACGAACACGAGATGCTTGGAAACTTTGACAGCTGACAATTGTATTGCATCGCAACTGCCAAATCTGCCGGATCGTCTGCGGAATCCTTCTCGTCTGTTCTTGGAAAGAACGTTTAGAGGCACGGACGAAGCTCAGCATGGTCGTTGCTGTTTCGAGACCCCGCCCCCACTCAAGCTCGTGTGGGTAAGCGTATGACGCAGCTCACAAACACCCAGCTGGCGCAGCACTTGCACTTGCGTACACAACATCCACCACTCAATCGCCCACAATGTCACTCACGAATCTCGATCTCATAAACCAATGCGACGGCTTCCCGTATCCCGACGTCAACTCGGAAACATACATCGCGTCCATCAACACGTATTACCAATTACGCGTCTCGGGCTACAATTATGCGCTGGGTTATATGCTCCCCTCCGTTGTCGAGGTTTTCCGCGGAGTACCCGGCTGGGAAATCGACGACGATGCTCGCATCCTCCATCTTACAGCCGGATCCAACGCAGACGAGCGGTCGAAAGCGGTAGAAACGACACTGTTGGCTATGCGACAGACAGGTCACTTCAAAGTGTTGGACAAGTGGCGGAACGAGCTGTATGCTGTGTATGGGCTGGGGAAGGAGCTGTTGTTCAACGTGGAAAGGAGTGCTAGTTGCCTGTTCGGCGTGGTCACCTACGGTGTGCATCTTACGGCATTCACGAGGAAAGACGGGGAGCTAAAGATTTGGACGCCGAGACGGGCGCGGACAAAGCAGACGTATGGAGGAATGCTTGATAACGCGGTTGCAGGCGGCATCGCATCAGGTGAGTCGCCGTTCGAGAGTCTTGTCAGGGAGTGTGGAGAGGAAGCTTCGCTCGACGAAGAGTTCGTTCGGGCGAATGCAAAGGCGTGCGGCACAGTCACATACTGGTACATTCGAGACGAAAGGGCAGGAGGAGAGACGAACCTGATGCAGCCCGAAGTTCAATATGTCTACGATCTCGAGCTTCCCGAAGACACAATCCCGAAGCCAGGCGATGACGAGGTCGAAGAGTTTTACCTGTGGAGTGTGGAGGAAGTGCAAGAAGGGATGAAGAAAGGCGATTTCAAGCCGAACTGCGCGCTGGTTGTGCTCGACTTTCTGGTCCGCCACGGCATTCTGACGACGGAGAACGAGCGCGACTACATTGAGATTGTGAGTCGACTGCACAGGAAGCTGGAGTTCCCTACACTGTGAGAAGGAGAAGGAAAACGTGATATTCCCGCGCAAGAGAGGCGGGTGAATCTATCGAGTCCTTTGGGGGTATCCAGACGCCGTGCCGAAACTTTTAGACCAGATGATACCAATACCAACACAATGCTACCAAACGCCTATTTATGCTTGCTTCCCTTGGATCGTGGTGGAGGCGAAGACACTAGTACTATGAGTGCTTGATGAGCATGTAAATGTCGTCGATCTTGAGCCCGCTGAGCTTCCGGTGAGGACCCTCCATGTACAACAGCAGCCCCCCGAAGCTGGCGAAATACTTTCTGTGTTGCCGTCAGCACCCGGTGCGAGCAGAACTCCCGCGCGAGCTTCACTCACATGATGTCGCCGTCACCACCCTCCATGCGGTAGTTCTTCCCATAGCACACGTAGTCGTACATGTCGGCCAGTGTCGTAACACCCTGCTTGCCGACGCTCCTCCACATAGAGTCGTTGTCGCCCTTGGCACTGCCGTCCAGCGCCAATGTCGTTGCCAGAACCAGGCTCAAGGTCTGGCCAGCTTCTACCGGGAACAGTTCGTGGTTGATGTCGAGCGACATGGTGATTTGGCTATCGGTCGAGGTGCCAAAGATGCGGGATACGCGATCGTATTTCTCATTGTTGATGGAGGTGACGGTGAATGTCTCTTCGAAGACCTGGGCGTCGGCCATGGTGAGATTGCGCGTGGGGTGGGCGCGTGGGTGAGAGTGCGGCGGGTGATGGTGTTGCGACAGATGGTTCGCGCAGGTAGAAAGTCGTCGGAGCGCGAAAAGCGACGCGTGTCTTGGCGGCGCCGCACTTCCGCACCCTCTCCGCATCGCCGCTACGCGCGCCGCCTACCAGCCTCACCATCGCGCCTTCCACGACTGTGCTTTCACATTCGCAAAACCCCCATACATGGCTCTGCACACACATGCGCCTCACCAAACCACTCGCCAGTCACTCGCTCACTCACGTGAACAGTCAGTTGCCTCAGCGCGCAACTCCCTACTTGGGTACAACTGCTGCGCCCCAGCCTGCCCTCGCTCCTCTGTCCCCTCTTCTCTTCCCACCTCCACTGTCTCTCACCCATGAGCTACGATCGCTACTTGATGAATCTCTTCAGCCTGCACGACCTTGACTATCTCTCGCCCGATATGCCCGACTTTACTTCAAGTCGTGACTGTAGCCCTGTCGCTTCCGATACACTCAACCAGCCCAAGTCCAAAGCTGCCGCGAGCCAGAGCAGCATGCTTCTCAAACTTCCCGACGACATATTCAAGTGTGTCATGGACTATCTCGACCGCGACGCTGCCTGGAGCCTGAAAAGGCTTTGCAAAGGCATGGCAAGCAGCGTCACCGTCAATCAGCTCCTCTACAAATACCCCATACAACTCAACGATGTGCGCGACATCAGACTAGGCGACTGGAAGTACAGAGGCCTGGGTAACATACGGTGGATAAGTTTCCAGGAGAGCATCACAGATGAGAACCGCCGACACGTACACAAGTTGGCAATGTCACATTGGGCGAGTATAGACGACTTCAAGTGGATAGAAGAAAACCTACCATGCCTGACGAGCTTAGACATCTCGGCCATCAAAGACTTCGTATGGACTCCGGAAGAGACGTGGACGTGGAGCATGCTGGCTGCTGCTTGCCCCAAGCTGTTCGGCCGCCTCGAAGAGCTCGAGGTTGCCAATTGGGCTGACTACACTGCGCACTCTCGGATTGAGTACAGCTACTCATACAACGACTATCGCTTCAAGCAGGGCTTCCGCATGTCCAGAAGGCACAAGAGCGGTTCTGTCGCCAGCATCATCTTTCCAATCTGCAGCAAGCTGAAGACGCTCGCGATACGAGAGCGCTACTCAGGCTTCCAGTAAGTTTTGTCCACCATGATTCCTCACCAACGCTCCTAGTACTGACATCCAGCCTAGCACATGGAACGAATGGGAAGTCCACCAGCGCGTCTGCTGTCTTGTGGATGGTGTGCAGAAGCATTGCCCAGACAGCATGACGAAGCTGAGGATACACGATTACGCCCCTTACCGATCCCTTTTCTCTACCGATGCCACAGCCTGGTCGCGAATAAAAGACGTCGAAATCGGCTTATACTCATGGATGGAGGACCGTCGCGATCGCGATGTAATTGGTCCCATACCGTATCGAATAACTCAAGGGCATCACCATCGTGATGAGGAAGAGGCATTCGATGACAAGACCTTCGAAGACTGCGGACGCGATCACATGGAGCTGGGCAATCATGTTGTGCAGGGCGTAGGAGCTTCATTCGAGGACCTGCTGCAGAGCCTCCAAACCATCTCCAAGAAGTATCCAAACATCAACATCAAGCCCATACACGGTCTTCAAAACATCGTCCTTCACCCATTTCATCTCATCAATGTAACGCAGCGCCGACATCACTTTGGCCAGACTACGCAGCAGAACAACGACCAAGCGATGAGTGACCCAAGCTCCAAGCCAGAGGTCCAGGAAGCGCTGCGGTGGATAGCTGAGAAGTGTAACTGGAAGCCCGTATTCACTTGGGAGACCCTCATGTCCGATGTCTTTCCAGCCAATCTCGAGCCCAACCGGACACTGCTTCCGAAACAAGATATTCTGTCTCGTATACAGACTATGGTATCCACCTTACGAAGCTTCGGTATCCCTATCCGTATTTCCATTGGCGAACGCACAAACATGTCTCCCGCGTCCGGTATTGACGGCAACCTATATTTCGGCGACTACAAGACCTTTGTTGGGGAAAACGCGGACAAGCGTGAACTGTTGCTTCCGACCCAAGCCGTCTTCAGTCTTACGCCCATCGCCGCCATGGTTGATGAACTCAGTATCCAATACCCCGCCGACGTTCCTGGTGTCTCTGGCTGGCTGCGTACAGCGAAGCGCCCTACACCCGCCGAGGTAGCCCTCATGAAACGCGAGATGATTGGCTGGAGGCGCTTCTGGGCTCGCTACGCTTCCCAGTTCAAGAATCTGAAGAAGTTGACCGTTAATGTACCCAACGACATCTACGAAGACTGGGGTAAAGGCGAGCTCGTTCAGTTACTAGCCGACGAACGGTGGCAGATGCTTGAGGTGGAGGACAAGCAAGATAACAGCATCTTCGGGAGCTACTTTCCATTCAGCAGTAGTAGCTCATCGTCTGCTCTACGACACAACCTTTCGCGTCGGCGTACAAGAGCCAAGTTTGTTCAGCGGGTCTTCTTCAGGCTTGACAATGGACCGTTGGACCTCGAGTGTCTACCTGCGGGATTGAGCGACAAGCAGAGAGAAGAGAGGGAGATCACAGACGCCGAGATCGCAGACAAAGAGACCTTGCCACATCGCTTCTGGCATAAGAGCGATGACGCAGACGAGGAAAAGGGCGAGAAACGCAAGCGAGACCCTGCCGAGGACGGCGGTAGCAAAGAGGATACGGAGAAAAGACGAAAGGCCGATCACGAGACTTGCGCCCGTGCCATTCAGTACATTCAGCTTCTAGCAACTACAACAGAGTAGCAATTGTATTAGTAGTCTAGCATACAAAGTTTATAGTAACCATCCATGATAATGCCAGAATGTCTCACCGATTGAAAGCTCTGCTATCTTTCTTACAAAAAGACACTACACTGAGATTGTAGTGTTTGCTCGTAGGTCCTTGGAGCTGAATCCTGACAAGAGAG